TAAATAATGCTACCAGAGTGCTAGTGCACAACGTAAAGTAGCAAAATAGCAAATCTGAAATCTCTCATCACTCAATAGCCACAAATTAGTCTCTAATAACATAATATAACTTAATGACTAGTGCTGCAGGGAAAGAAACAGAGGAAGAGGGAAAGAAACAGAGGAAGAGGAGGGAAGCAGAGGAAGAGGAGGGAAGCGGGGCTGCAGAGGAGACCAGAGAGGAGGCAGGGAGCATACGAGGCGGACGGGTATACGATCGACGGAGGCGGGCGAGCAAGTGCGGACGGGCAGGAGCTGTAGGTGCGGTGCGAACGGACCCCTGGTGAACTCGAGCAGCCAGGAGGAGATGCAAGGGCGGACTCGCGGGAGGTGCGCGCGGCCGGTGGACTCGAGCAAGGAGCGGCAAGCCTCCGCCTCTGCCTCTGCCGCCAAGAAGCAAGGCCGCCGCCGCCGCCGCCTCTTTTCCTCTCCTCTCTCTGTGAAGCTGCAGCGGCCCGCACCTGTGGTAAAAGCCCTCGAGCGGGAGGTTTGCCGCGCAACAGCATATATGCGGTCGATTCCCGCCCTTTTCCTTCTAGCGCGGACGCGACGCGGTCGATTTCCGCCAGTTTTCATTGCGTCCGCTCGATTCCCTGCCCGATTCCGTCTTCCTCTCGACTTGCTGCTCCGGCGTCCGGCACAGGCCTCTAGGCGCTCGCCCGACGGCTTTCCACGCCTAATCGACGCCTAATCTCATATGGCAGACGCCATACGCACGCATGCCGTGGCGACCCCGACGCCCAGCACCCTGGGCACGCCTTGTCGCCTAGGCGACGCCTCAAAAACAATGTGCTAATCTTATCTGATAGTGGCGAGGAGTATTTTATCAGTGGATAGTGTGTTCATTCGTGCACTTCTATGTTTGGCAGGCTGGTGGTATGGAGTTGTTGGGCACTTGGAGTCATGTGATGGAAATGAACACTTTTGTCGGTGTCATCTTAGTGGTGAGAATATCTTTAAGCAAAATAGCTACTTATTGAATTGACTAATAATCACAGAAGTTGTTGTATGCACATCTGCTTTTAATAGTCATGAACATGCCCACAGAGTCTAAAGAACATTATTATATGGCAACATCATTGCCTCAGACTCATTTTTCTCGAGCATTTTAGAAAAGAAAATAGTACCCCAACATGGTCAATTAAGATATGTAGCATATGTTTGACCTTAATTGTGCTATAAGGGTGTTGCACACTAATGTGTATTCCTAGTAATAAACTAAACTGCCATTTTTAACTATGATTATTGAAGCAGCTGGCTCTTAGCATGTATGGACATATTCAATTGTGTAAGGAAACCATCTATTTAGGCACTAAACTTCCATTTATTTATTTATAATTTATCTATCCAGAGGTCAGCATCACTAGTTCTGAAGTCTGAAGAATATCTGGTGTTAGACTCATGTAGAATATTTAGGTAAAGAATCACAATCTTTGATGGGATATTAAATCTTTCGACAGTCCATCCCTTTTAAATGAATAAAAATATTTGTATCATTTTAAATGCAGTTGAACTCGAATGTCCTGTTACAGTGAATTTGTCATGAATCGAATATCACTTGAGATGACCCTTGGTAAATTTATCTGAGGCCTTTTGTGATTTCATGTACTCCTACTCAAATTAACCCCAACTGTTGGTTATGCTGCAGACACCGTCGTGCTGGAGTTCAATCAGTACACGCCAGGCTCAAGATGGAGGCAAGCGCTGGTGAATCGGAAGGAACATAGGGAAGAGGGCAATGAGGGCGACGGGTTCTACGGCGGTGTAAGGAAGCTCCGCAGCAAGGATGACATCTCCAAGTGGAGGCAGCTGTGGCCAACAGACATCCTGGAGTAGCAAGAACATATTACTTCTCACGTGGGGACTGATCGATTGCTCAATTGACATACCTTCCATTGACCATTGCTGTGTGCTCTGTCCACGGCCAATTCCTCTGCCGCGCTGTTGTACACGGATTAGAACACAACAAGGTGGCAACAAATCCTGTAGCTGGACAAGGGTGTAAACTTATTGTCAGGCATACCGGGCGCAGACCGCTTCCTATTCATTCATGGGACTGTAACTGTAAGCCTGTAACCCTAAGCAGTCTGCGTCTTATGCCTGCTGTTGTAGCTGTAGAGCAGAAAGATCAAATGTAAATTACATTTTTTTAGCTCAAATTCACGACAAATTGGTGGTCTCTCTCAGCTGTCCTTTCGGCGTAAGAACAGCTTGGGCCATCTCTCTTCTTCAATCTTGAAGCAGCAGGATTTTATTTATCTTGCAGCGGCAATCGTGTGTGCTACGGAGGTAGTTTTAATGGGAGCAATTTTGGGGGACTTGCGCTCTAATTTCTGCTTTTGTTTTGAGCATTGGTAGCAGCAAGGGGCCACGGTATTCACAAAAACGGTTATTTGGTCCCCATATGAGATGTGTGTGATGTATGTGGATCTTTTCTTTCTCGGTAGTACAAAGAAGCGCAACTCTCGTGTATTTTCAGATTGGTAGTGGTGGTGGGGTGTGCGTGTGGGGGGGGGGGGGGTCATAAATCCGCAACAAAAAAATGGATAGGTTTAATTTTCGTGTAGATCCATTTATAGTTCGGTAATGCTCTAAACCGGGCGTCCGTCCGTCCGGACACTCCGTTGCTAGGCCACAACGCCAGCCAAGAACCCATGCTCCTTCATTTCTAAAAAAACTGCTCATCCACTTATATCTATCCACTCGTTCCTCTTCCTTATCGCTCTTTATCCGCTCTCCTGCCGCCTCCGAGCGCACGACCGCTGGCCCTCCGAGGAACCGCGTGCGGCCGCTTCGGAGGCGCAACGCACACCGATGGGCCTCCATTCTGCCTAGCACCAAGGATATGTTGCGTTGAAAGCGCATGTTGCAAGAGTATGTTTCAATTGTTTCAGAGGTATGTTGCAAGTGTTTCATATGGATGTTGCAAAAATAGATCGTGATGTTGCACATGTTGCAATGGTTGTACACGTATGTTGCAAGCCTCCGTTCCAAATGTTTCATCTGCTTTTTCAGACGTATGTTGCAAGTGTGCTTATTTGGATGTTGCATATGTTTCACACATATGTTGCAAGAGTATGTTCGAAATATTTCAACTATTTTCAGTCTTATGTTGCAATAAGTGTTTTCATGTTGTAAGTTGCAAGTGTTTTATCTGGATGTTACATATGTTTCACACACATGTTATAAGTGTATGTTCCAAATGTTTCATCTGCTTCAGACATATGTTGCATTCAAATGTTTCATGTTGCAAGTGTTTTGTGTTTTAGATGTATGTTCAGAGAGTCATGGGACACGGCTCGGACACCGGAGGAAACGGCGTGGTGAGCCCGGGGGCCAGCGGATGGGCGCGCAACGCGCCTGGGGTCCTATGGACGGGACATGCTCGTCCTCATCTCTGCTCCCTATCACGCTCACGCAGAGAGAGAGGAGGGGGTCCAGGGGAAGGAGCGGCGGGCACGGGGCAGGGCGAGACGGATGGGGATGGGGATACACGTGCATGGCGGGACGAGGTAGATGGGGAAGGACTGGAGCGATACAGTGAGAGTGACATGTTGCCGCTGGACCGTTCGGTACCGTCATATGGAATTCTATCCCATCGGATGTCCGAGCACCAACAATTCCGTTTATAGTTGCTTTACGGACTTGATTAGCATGTGGAGTGCAGCCATAACAGGCCTAATTACAAATGGAAAAATAAAAATCAAAATGGCAAGGTGCCTTATGAGCCCACGAGTAACCCGCTGGCTGGTAGACACATCTAGCCCATAATGGCGTCTGCAGTGGTACTAGCTATGTCAGCCCCTTACGTGGAGGTGAGATGTGGGATGACCATTTTATATATTTTTATTTTTCAATATGTTAGTGAACCCACGTGTTCATCTCTTATATTTTTTAATATTTTTGGACTACGTGAAATAGATCAGCTGTTTACTCATCGTCTCATCGCTGCTTTCTTTTTTCTCTATCACGTCAGATTAGAGTCCAATCAGCTAGCTAAAAAGGAATTCCTTCTGTCTCTTAGGGGATGTGCATGTGCATCGATGTCAGAAAAGTAATAATCTTATATCTTAAACAGGATTCAAGTTGCATGGCTTCACTTTTGTGAATGCATCGGCAGGAATCCCCAATCCCAAGGTGTCTCCCGACAATATGACTAGATATGGCCGATTCAGTGCCCACAAACAGCAGGCAATCAAGAAAGCAGTGAACAAATAGCCAAATAGGCCATTGCACCATATGTCTTTGTCTAAACGTATTTATTCTTTCTTAGTTTCTTTCATTGTGTTCAAAATTGATGCTATTTGTTATACACTGTCGGTGAATAAGTGAGCGAGCATGTGTTACTTCGCCTGTTAGTTGTGTGATATTTCCTATGATATGATCACCCTAATGTGATCAGAATTCAGACTAGCATGTGTTACTTTAATTTGTTATAAGAGAAGATGAAGTTATTTCCTGTTCTTGAACTGGATTTATCTTCATTCAGACATCGATTTTCACTGTTCGTGTTGGTCTGTTACTCTGTTTGTGCCTTCTGGCTGCCATATAATTTCTGGTGATTTCAGGCTGCTTCATACAGTTCAGTGAGATAATTCCTCCAGGAACAGAAAGCCAAGATGAAAGTAACACAATAGAGCATTCAAACTCACGAATTGCTGTAACACAACCAAAAGCAAAAAAGAACATAATGAATAACAATTGAATAGCCCGGTTCCATATACCACTATATAAACGGTGCCAGTGTTCAGTTGCATCAGACAGTGACTTCACTATACGAAGTACAAATGCATAAACAACAGCCAGTTCGCTTCATCCTCTGCTCGCGAGCTCGCGTTTTAAAAGAAAAGATGCAATAGCAGTACGCAAGTATGTACATCTCTGCGCTAAGCAAATTCATGGCCGAATCTTAGCACGCAGTATGTGGCAAAAAGATGGATCAGCCTCACATCAGTCCCCTTCTACGCCGTCGTCGTCCAGCTGGAGGTGGTTGCGGACTGCGCCTCCGCCCCTTTGTCCTCGTCGGGGCAGCGGCTGACGAGGACCTCAAGAGGAACGCCCCCCGGCGGCTTCATGGTCAGGTCCGCCACCGTCCTGTCGACGGCGTTCGTCTCCCGTTCCGGGCAGCCTGGCGTTGACATCCTGAAGACAAACAACAGACCATAGTCCATAGTCAGAGAGGGGGAAAAAAGAAAGATTCACACATGACGCATGGGCGGCAGAAACGTACGTCACGTCACGTACCTGGACGCATTGCCGTCTGCTGCTTGCTGGACACCAGATTCAGAAGAAGGCGTCCCGTTTGCAGCGCTGCACTTGGCTCTCGAACTCTCAGCCAGCCTGAAGAAGGCGTCCCGGAGGCACACCCGCGTCCTCTTCGTCAGCTTCAGTTTCAGTCAGAGAGCAAACAAGCAAACATGTTTCACCGTTACAACCACGAACACAAACAGTCACATTTTTCTGCACTGCAGTTGGGATCTGGCGAGGTGAAGGTACCTGGAACACCACATCCTCGAGCTCCTGGAGCACCAGCGCTTCGAAGAACAAGCTCCCTTCATCAGCCACGGATCTGCACCTTTTTCTTTTTGTGGTAAAACTCGCCCCATCCTGGAAGGGAAACACGCATTCAGAGCTCATCAGATCATCGATACCTGTCTGTGCTAGACTAGTCGTCAGTGGAAACATGGTGTCGTGACAGTGAGCATTGATCACACGTCGCCGGCCTGTACCTGATGATGATCCTTGGGCGTGACAAAATCGGGCAGCACTAGCTCCGTCGGCGCGTTCTGCATCAGGTCGTGGCTGAAGAGAGGGAAGCCACAGGTGTCCATGGTGTCCACCCCCAGCCCAGCGTCCTGCTGGTCCTCTGATGAGCCGGTGAGCACCCCGCTCAGCATGTTCTCGTAGGACAGGAGCCGGTGCATGGAGCCCGGGAACATGTCCAGCGCCTCGAACGGCGCATCCATCCTCCTCATCTCCTCGTCCGAGAACTGGCTCCTGCAAAGTCATCAGAGCACACAAGGGATCAGGAAGTTTCTAACGGAAAGTACAGAAACAGCAATGGCAGAATTTTCACTCGGAAAGTAGCATGGCGTCGAGCATTTTTATATATACATACATGAAGATGTCGTCTGTTGGCTGCGTGCGCTGCTGCGGCACGGGGACGGGGCCCTCGGTGTGTTCGTCAGAACTCCCCGCTGCGTCGCCGTTGCCGTGCTTCTCCGCACGCGCGCCGCCAGTGCCGTGGTTGTCATGATCGTCGTCAGCTGATGACCCGAAGCTCCACAGCGGCCAGCCGGCGCTCAGCTGGTTGTCGAAGAACTCGTCGCCAGGCAACGACGGTGTGCCCCCGCTCTGCGGCAACGGATACCACGCCATGATGCTCATCTGAACCAGATCAAGAGGTGCACCTGTTAGGATCAACGTGTCCACAAACAACTTTGCATCAGAAGCTATACTTAAGTTATAATGGGCCTGTTTGGTTGGGTGGCTAACCCCCAACCAACCTCCAGGAAGCCAACTTTCAGCTGTTTGGTTGCCTGTAAATAGCCTGAAGCCAGGCCCAACTAAGCCACTTTAGAGGTCCTGGCCTGGCCCTGGAAAAACGAGATGGGGAACCGTTTTTCGGGAGCCTGGCTTGGCTAGCGTGCTGGCTCCCGTCGCGTCACCTCCCGGTCACAACGCGGAGGTCTGGGAGCGGACGCTCAACGACGGAGGCTCGATCCGAGGAGGACGACGACGCCAGCGTGCTCCAGCCACCAATACGGAGGATCCCACGGTGCTCAACGGCGAGCTCGCGAGGTGGCCATGATCCGACGGGCATTGGGAAAGGCCGCTTTCCACCTTTGTTGGCGAGCGCCCCTTCGACGGCGAGCTCCCGCGGTGGCAAGGCGGGGGTCCCGCGAGCGTTGGGAAAGGCCACTTTCCACCAGGGGAAGTCGCCGGCGAGCGCGTCCTGGAGCGGGCTCCGCTCGAGGCCGAAGAGCAGCAGGGAGATGATGTCGCGGAGCCTTGCTGCTGCCGAGTGCGCCGCGGATCCGGCTTGGGGAACTAGGCCAGTGCACCGTGGATCCGCTTGTGGTCGGCGCCCATCAGGTCCAGGATGCTCTTCGCCCATCGATGACGCCAGCAGAGGCATGATTCGAGCGGACGTGAATGTGTTGGATGTGAGTGAATGTTTAGGCCTTCTAATCCTTTGTGCTGAATCTATTGACAAATATTGCAATGTGTAGCTGAATGCATCAACGAACATTGCATAAGACCATAGAGAAATTCGTGCATGTTTACACTACAGTCAGTTATGTAAAAAAATACTTCATCTACTGATAGATGGTTCGATTTCGAGTGAATCAAAAGCCTCCTATTTTACTTGTCTTCCGTACATGCTGTTTGGTCTTCTCTGCCGGTTGAATTGCAACGTATTCGCCTTCAGGATCATATGACTTGGCCTGCAGACTAAAGTATCGATCTTCTCATGGATCATTGCCAACTCCTGCTGCTCGCCGTGCTAGCCCTGCTGCTCGTCGTGGTCGCCCGGCTCGCGATTCTCGCCTTGCTGCTGCCAAGTGCCGTGCTCGTCGAGGATGTCCACCACTTATTCGACGAAATGCCTCAAAAGGGTATCCTTACCAATTAAGAGAAGATATAACTGTATCAAAACAAACCAGGCAATCAAACACACCCTGCGGCTAGCCAGGCTTAGAAAGCACCGACATCCAAACAACCAGTGATCAGACTAAGGCTGCCCAGACTTCGATTCTAGCCAGGCTAGAAGTTAGCCACCCAATCAAACAGATCCAATATGGCTCCTCCTGATTGGGGATCAGATCATCAGAGTAAACAAACCAAACCAAACAATAGCTAAACTTTACAGCAAGCGAGATAACCTGTCGTCTTTGCAGGATCAACAAGGCATGAAAAGAAGAGAGAATTCCATTCATGGCAACAACATAGTAGACAGAAAATCGAAATTCTTGGAGCCGCAAACATATGAAAGAGGAACTCGATCTTCTTGGTTAAAACGTACACTGGCAGGCGAACCCTTCTTGTCGCCTCCTCCGTGAGACGAGACTGTGACGCTGTTCTTCGCCCGGAAGCGCTTGTTCCTCTTCTTCCTCTGCTGCTGCTGCTGCTGCTTGTAAATTGCTGTGGCCACCCGGTGGGGGAGGAGGAGGAGGAGAGAGAAGCAGAGACCAGAGACCAGAGACCAGAGAGGAGTGGCAAGGGAGACGAAGATGCATCTGCATCCCTTCCCCTGCTGGAGCTGGAGTACTTAACCACTCTACCCCACATCGCCATACGTGGGCCCAAGCAGCGCCGCGGCCCCACTTTCCATCGACATCCGCGGGCCCCACGAGGTCGCCGGGCGAGCTGCGCGTGACTTGAGCCAACGGCTGCCGGGCGAGCTGCGTGTGTGGTCTGACGCTGAGAAGGGATTCGTGTGGCTGCCGCGGCCCCGGGGCCCACGGGGTGGCCAGCGTTATCTAAATCTCGGCTGCTGATTCGCCACGTCGACCTGGCCCAGATCCTTCCCCCGGAAACGGCCTGGGCCAGTGGGCCTCCGGGCCCCGCAAACGGCAGCTGTCCCACGTTCTCCTTGCTGGTCAGGCCGGTACCGGCAGTAATCGTGCGCGCCGACCCAGCCGGTTTTTTGCCCAGCGGCGACTGTGTGTGTGTCGTTAAAAAAGAGCAGTCCAGTTTTTTTCTTAACGAAGGAAAGTTTTTGTTGACTCACAATCATTACATCTGAGTTGATATTACATCAGAGTTGATACAGTGATTGGTAACATGTAAGTCATATCCTTATCAAGATCACATGAGACGGGCAAACCTGTTCGTTTATGCTGGAATTTGACTTACGTTATGTCGTTGATACTTATGCTGAAATATTACGAGAGAAAAACATTATTCCATAGCCTTCAGAAAAGTTCTGAATAAGATCAGAACAGGACTGCATCCAGCGGCCAACCATCACTCGTCGTACTAATACGTAGTCTTTTTGTTTTCTTATAATTCTCTCCCACGCCAACTTAGCTAGCGAAATCGACGATGCCGTTGAGGACTATGGAGTTAGCCTAGATAGAACAAAAGTGCAAAAAAGTTTATTTGGTTACATAATAAGCCAGACCTCCTCCCGCACAATCAAATAGCCTTAATACAAAAGATGATGTATGTCCTAGAATGAACAGCGAAGCATAAGCAGTGCTTTGATATGGTGGTTTTGCCCGTTTACACACCATTTACACGTTACATAGTGGTATGCTAATTTTTATATAATCAGTCGTTTATTCTGTTTAAACAATCATTTTGTTCGTTCAGATAAAATATTGGCTAAACAATAAGTGATCGACTGTTTAACATTTAACATTTAAGATAACATTGGCCCCATGACATATACTTGCTTGTGAGAAACGCTCCCAGCCTACGTTTCTCTCCACAGCCTAATTGAAGGTGCTTTGATTTTCATATTGGCCTGGCTTAGAAGATCAGAGCAATCAACCAAACAAGTCAGGCCCAGACCTATACAAGCTTCCAATCACGCTCTAAATACACAGTCTAAACAAAACAAAACAAAAACAAATGCTTGTCATTCTAATGACCATCGATTCTACGACTAGATCTCCACACATGTGCCTAGGAGAGAAACATCGTACCCGCTTTGTGCCAATTGTTGCAATGTTGCTGCAACAAAAACCAACAAAATAAGCTTTTGGAGGATAACCCATGTGCAGACCTAATGGTTAATCGATTGTATCACCTACAGTTCTGCAAAATGAGATAAAAAGCACGTTTCTTTTCAAACACCAAAGTGACCAAAAGTTAGCTGCTGCCACTAAATGTTTTAAATCTCATCTAAACCCCCAAAGCCAACTCCAAACATATGAGAAACTAGCAGGTACCCCCGTGCACGGGGCAGCAAGTCGGAATACAGCACATCATATGTGATCATACATGGAACTAAAAGATTAGTAGAATTAGTTAGAGATGAGTTGTCATTTGAGCCCCGTGCTTCGTAGGATGATATTAGCATAGCATAGGGATTGCAAGGTATCAGCTAATTCATGCTCAAAAAGGTGAAGAAGCAATAGACCATGTAATATTCTATCACCATTTAGTATTGTTTGTAGGTGTACATAGTGGTACAAAAGTAAGTTTTGTACATATAGAGGTGGCATTGTAGTTGTAGCGAATTGCTACCTTATAAGCAGGGAGCCGTTTAGTAGCATCTGTTATACCAGAAGGGGTAATGTAGAGATAACAGAGAGCATGTCTAACTAATTGTTACATGAGGATAGCAGGCACCATGGACTAACCCTGACACAATAAGACCTGAATTAGAGAATATCTAATTAGAGGTCTTTGATGGTAAAGAAAACGGAGGGTAGTGAGCAGACCTGGCCAATCTGAGCTACATCAACTACATATCACCTCAAATTCTTAGAGCAGCGCCTAGAATTCGTTGAACAAACTAATAAATAAACTGATTATTAAGACCAGATCACCAATTTTAGACAACCGCCTGTTTATGAGCAATGGCTATGAAGAATCGTTGCTGCCAACGATGTTATTCATTGTGGACAATGCTATAAAGGCATATACTACATACGATGGTTATGTAGCAACAGTAGCGTCAATATAGAGCAATGGATTTAGCATATAATAATTGATCAGCATATGTGCTGATGGGAAATCACATGGTAACTAAATATGCACAAACGTACAACCGTTAACACGTTTAGGAGATAGAAGCCGAAACAACAATCCCCGTATAGGCAAGAACAGATAACCAACATCGCTAATGTGGAAAGGATTAGGCACATAGTTAAGCACATAGAGATTTGCATGCAGATTATGCAGGTGAAAGATACTTGCACACTGATTATGAAACATCTGCCTAAGCAGGAAACTGAAAAATATTATGTGATCAGCACCAGCAGTCCTTACCCAAAGATCTCGCCTTGCTTGATGATGTCAATTTTCTGCTCGCTCGTATCGAAAATCCTCAATGTCGGTGACAATACCAAACTGCAAATGCATAGGACATTTTTCTGTTCAGAGAGTATGGACCCAAGGACTAAGGTACTACATAAGTGATTACATGTAGCTAAATACGAAAGGTACATTGTTTTGTAAAGAGTAAAATAAACAATCTAAATAAAGTGGATTACTTCTTTTCATACAAAAATAATATATTTAATAAGCAGGCACTTGGTCCTTATGATGCTCTCCATTTACCTCAAGCTCTCACTGCACCCTTTTCCTCTTAACATAGGCAGTTTCTTCAGGATTTGAATTGGCAAAAGAAACATTTTATTCACGTTTGACCTCTCGCATAACTGCAAAGGCATGGAAGGTAAGGCAGAGATAGAATTTTGTTAAAAGAACAGGAAGGTTTTTCTTTAAGAAGGCGTACCACTGCATAATTAGTCATCTCGCTGAAATGGCCATGCTGTTTTAAGGGTACGACAATAAACAAATAGGGAAAAATTTAGGACAGGAGTGGGCCATAGTGCGAGCTGTAACATGGAATCGCAATAGACTGTAGGCAGGGAAGTGGCATGGTAGGATAAATAAGATGGTAGCAATACGTATATATACATGATCATGCCGTCGGGCTTTCAAGATCATCAGCCTATATTCACAATCCACATGGGAGTTCATTTTCATCACATGCTATGCAATCTAAAAAACATTTCCCTCACCTGCACCAAGCATCAGGAGATTGAAGATCATCAGCCTATATTCCGAAGGTACATGGGAGTTCATTTTCGTCACAGGCTATACAACAAAAAGAACATTTCCATCACCTGCACCCAGCATCAGGGGGAAAACGGGGTAAAAAATATTGTGCAGGAATGAAATCCGTGTGATGAACACGTGAATTAGATAGCAGTATGGAGGTTTGTCCCAAATTTGCGTATCTATGCAATCTTAGCTGGGAAGACGAACCAGGGAAGAACTTAAAAAAAGAGAGGCACATGGTCAGATCAAGATGAAACCTGGAGGTGAGAGACGGAGGGACATATAGAGCAGACCTTGAGAGCCGGCAGTGGAAAGGGCCGCTCGCCCAATCTGCCGCACAAAAGAAGAGACGGAGGGAGAGAGGATGCGAAGGAGGAGGCACGGGACAGCGGAGGAAAACCTGCCGCGAGATCCGGTGGCCGAGCTGAGGCAGCGCTGGTGCTGCCGCGTCCGTGCAGGTGGTCAGCCGAGTCGAGGCCGGGTCTGCAGCACCACGGCATGCGGAGGGCCGCGCCTGTACCGTGCCTGGTCCCTGTGCCAGTGCAGCCGGGATGCGGCGGCCGGCGCTCAGGCTGCCACGCGGGGGGCCGCGTTGCTGCTCCGCGCAGGTGGCTGGAAGAGCTGAGGGTGGGTCTGCAGCACCACCGCGCGGGGAGGGCGCCGGTGTGCCGTGCTGCCGCCGCGGGGCCGCAGAGGAGGCGGGTATCCATGGCGGCGCAGATCCGGAGAACGTAGGCGATGGGGAGGGAAGGCGCGGTAGCGGGAAGAGGACGGGCAGAGCGGGGGCGGCGCTGGCAGAGGCGGAGAGGGAGCGTGGGGAAGGGAGGTTCCAGAGTACGGCGTGGGGAGGGAGGCCGGAGAGCGAGCGGCGGCGTGGCAGGCACTGAGGAGGGGACGCTTATTCTTTGTCAATGGATGGAAGCGAGAAGTCAAGGGAAGCGAGGAGAAGGCTCTGGAGAGGGGAAGGACGCGGCAGGCACCGATGGACGGGGAAACGGATCGGACGGTCAGGATCGAGGAACTGTGGATGAATAGTGGCCCGAGTGTAGAAATCGGGGGCAGGGTTCTTGAAGAGAAGTCTACACCACAAGACCAGTAGAAATAAAATATAAATCATAAAAATTCTCATAATAATCAGAAACATCTTGCTTTTAATCTCTATAATCTTCATCATTAATAATAGCCATTCAATAATTTATGTTTTATAAAAAGTTAGCCATTATGAAAATAAATAAAGTAACCCATAAATTTATATCTAAATTGCCCATCTCAGCTATATAAAACATAATTTAAACAACTACTTAATTTGCATAGAAATTACCCATTTTATCATTACGAAAGATAATTTGAAATAACCCCTCAATTTTCACCTATCTTTTCCACTTATGTCTTATTACGAAAGATAATACAACCTAGGTTTGCATCTAAATAATACATGTCTGCCAATATGAAAGATAATATAAAGCAATCACTTTAATTTGTGAATTATCAACATATGTTGTTATAAAATTAAAGAGAGAGAGAGAGAGATTGATATGGATGAAAAACATCTAGAGAGAATTATGTATTTGGCACTGAAACAAAATCGGTCTTCCATATTTGACACTAGAAATTTTGAACTTCATTAACTAGCACCAACTTAAAATTTTCTTCTATAAATGGCACTGCCGCCCATTTGATGCACTAACAGTGTTAAGTGACAGCTAAAATGATATGTCTACCCTTCCATGTAGTAGCAACATGTAGTGCCAGGAAAAAGAGAAATTGAACATGTTGTCAAATAAAGAAAGTATAAATATCACAAATATATTTGTGAATTAAAACATGGCATTTTGATAATTGAAGAGTGCAAACAAAATAATCAATAACTTCAAATACTAAGATAAGAACACGTACAAAAAATAATAAATAAATTTCAGGCACAAGCTTACATCGTAGATCGTACTGAATTAGGAGTAACTTGGAAAGAGCCTATTCTGCTTTCCCGCCGGCGTGACACCCAAACACTGTCATCGTCAAGGCCGGCCGGCGTGCTAACTCCACAGAGGTGCTGTGCTGCGTCGTCTGCGTGCGTGTACACTGGCCAGCGCGCTGCTGGGACCATCGCTTCTCGGCCGGATGCTCCCGCACGACGGTGAGCTCTTCGCCATGCGGGAGGGGTGGGTGCAGATAACCACCATCGGCGGGTACGCCTTCATGCTGCAAATCTTCGTCATCGGCCAACTTCTCCATCGCGGGCGTCACGTCTTACCTCCTGGCGCCCATCCCCTCGGAGAAGATCCAGTCGGGCGGCCCGTTTTGGGAGCCGACGGGCGAGGCCGCCCTGCGGCCTGTGCGGGGGAAGAAGCTGCACGCGTCAGTTCGGCCTCTGCCTCCTCCGCGACGTGAGCTGGCCAGCACGAAGCTAGGCGAGGGCGCCCCGTTGCCTCCACTACGCCACATCGGGCTGCCGGAGGGCGCGGCTGCCCCGACGCCACCGCGCCACGTCGGACCTCCAGCGGGCGCGGGCACCCCGCATCCACCGCTGTGTGATCTGCAACCGGCGGCCGCAGCCGCCCCGCATCCTCCGCGTGAGGGCACGCGTGGGGGCCGTGGGGGCGTGCCCGGCCGGCCCTAGCCGCCGCCTGCCGATCCCTCCTCCGCCTCTGCCTGCGTGACACGGCGCGTGCCAGTAACCGAGGGGCAGGGGTATTTTGGTCTCCCTCGAAACGAACTGCAACTAACGGATGCCTGGTCGAAATGGACGGCAGTGCCATTTAGAAAATGAAATTGTAATTTGGTGCTATATAAGAAAGTTTGAAATTTTTAGTGTCAAATATGAACGACTGATTTGTTTCAATATCACATACATAATTCTCTCAAACATCCATGGACATCTTCGGCTTCTATTTGAAATTCTACGGTTCTACCTCGTGGGAAATATGGGTGGACACCGGTAAAGAGAAGCCTAGGTATGGGCTGGAATCTTAGCAGGCCGAAATGCTCGGCTGTGCTATTTCTGCGGCAGCTGCCTACTTCCTTCTTTCCAAAATTTCAACTAGTACTGTAGTCTGTAGACGTGAAGACTTTGCTGCTGCAGCAACACGAACTGTGCTGTCACAAGCGCAGCCGATCGGGCGAAGAAATTTCATGGCTGAAAAGTAGTGGCTCAAGCAAATAGGGCGGTGTGCCACCTGAATCCTGATTCTTCGGAGGATGACGTTGGTGTCAGAGCTCAGCGCCGGTGAGGCAAGCAGGCCGCTGACGAGTGACGACCATGCCACGGCAGCCGGCCAGCCGCCAAACTCGAAGTGCGACTAGTACTGTCACAACGTTGGTCACGTGACAACGCAGATCTTGCGAGGATACCGACAGGGGTACATTGCACACAGGCCACAAGGTAAGTGCAAAGCTGCTTCACATCACATTTTCACAAGAACCTTCAACAAACGTCACCGTTAACCAAACCGACTGATATAATCGTTTAATATCTGTCGACGATTCGAGTACCACACTGACCAACACACGCCCTGCTCCAGTAGCAGAGCAAAGAGTACACGACCAAAACAAATGGTACCATCGAAGCCATGATACAGCAGCATCAATAGTCGTTTCCCAAGAGACGACAAGGAAAAAACAATGAGCAGCAGCGAGCCTCTGCACCCCAGCTCAAACTGGCAACAGCTTCTTGTCAGGGGATTGAAGCGCGACGGCCCCGAGCTTGGGGCTGGAGTACTTCTTGTACACCGCCTTCTGCTTGCTTTCCGGAGCCAGGGCATGGAATCTGATCAGCCGCCTTGCACAATCCCTGCGGTTACACACATCATCCCCAATAACCAACAAGTTACTCTCCTAGTCACGAGCCAAAGAAGCCAAAAGTAATTTACATCGTTGTGTCCTGCTAATGCTATAAACATTCAGCACATAGGCTTTGCTGGCTTACTACAGTATAAAGAATACGAAACAACGGATGACATCTTGCACAAGCCAATACAATACGAGGGGGGGACACCAGATATGGCAAACTGATCAAATGTCTCTAGCTGTCTAGGAGCAGCAAGTTGGTTGCAATAGCAAGTCAGAATCACGGTTAAACTTCTGAGGATATGCAATCAACTCGACTTGCTTCAAATTAGAATCAGATCATGATGCCAAGTTTTATCATGAAAGAAACAGCAGGCTTAGGTCGACATATTATCAGGATGTTTTTTTAGCATGATCATTCAGTTAATACTTGACAGAAATGGATTGGTTGCAATAGCATGTCAAAATCACATTTTATTTTAGAGACTCCTGATAATATGCAGTAAACTCAACTTATTAGTAATCAATTCGGACTAGAATCGGATTTCAAAGGCAAGATATAGTCATCAAGGACGTACAGTAACTGTGGCTCAGTTAAGCCAGTGTGATGCTCCAGAATATCAGTCCACCGTGGATTCATTCCGAGGGTACACCTGGCAGCATAGACGGCAGCAGCTGCGGTCACTGATGGAGGGTAAACCAGCATCGTGTACTGGACCAATGCCAGCTCAGAGTAGAAGAATGCCATGTTCTCAAGCTGCACCAAAAGTACGGAAGAAAATGGCATATTACATGTCAATATCTAAAATATTTGGTGGTAAAACACATTACTATGAGTGGATAGCTATACCTTTTCGTCGCCCATTGCGGCTTTCAGATACCGAACAATGAACATGTACATTGTTGGAACCGTCAAGTTCCAATGGAGCCTGTCCAGGATGGCTTTTTCCTTGGTTAGAATCTGGTCTCTGGTAAAGGCATTGTCACAAAGGCACAGCAAATCCTTGACCTGCAAAAACATTGTTGTTTTGGGTAAGCTAATCGAAGAATGGACTAGCATGGTTAGAAGCACATAGAAACAACATCAGCAATATTCTGGGGAAGCCTACCAGTGGAGCCCATGTCTCTTCATACTTGCTTGCTATCAGCATGGCACTTATGCCGACGAGCTGTAGCTCCTTTCTTGGAACACTCTCCATGGATAAGTACTGATCGATGATGTAGACGGTCAAGTAAAGTGTCTCTGGCATTAGAATAAGCCTGTACTGTACCTCGATAATCCAGTCGATAAGGATAGCTCTCATTCTCTCGCTGATTTCAGCCTGCGAGCTCATGTAGCTGCTGAGGGGCAGGCAGGTGCCCTGGACAAGCAACAACGCCACAGATCAACAATGATCAGAAATGGTTACTTCAACAATCCTTTGAATCAGCAATGCAGCAAGATAAAAAAACTGTGGCTTCACATAGTTATCTCACCTCAGTGCTCTTGTAGAATCTGTAGATGTCCTCAACATATTCAACCACTGCCAGCTCATTGCAAGAATCAGGTGTATCAATGTCATATGGATCTGTCTTCTTCGGGCTGCTGACAACCCCATCAGAATCCTGTGTACAGACAAAAAGTTATGCAGGCATTCTTAGAATGAAAAGAAAGAGGCAATCTTAACCTTAGAATTTTGCTTGTATTCATACCCTGCTGCATTTTGTCAAATGATCAAAAAGTGTTGGTACCCTCCTACAGAATCTCGGACCCCCTGAGGTTTTGGCTTTCTTCTCCTTCTCGGTATCTGGACTGATCACAATGACTTCAGGCTTCACCTTGCATTCCTTCAGCATTACTGCTTTCCCATTCCTGTTCACAGCAGCCAGTGGCTTCTGACGATTTTCAGGAGCAGCACGGTCATTGATAATAAGATTCTTAACGTCGGCAAGCGGTCGCCGGCTTCTTGCTGCTGCCTGAGGAACCAGTGGCTTCTTGCTGCCAACGTCAACTGCTTTACGACCGTTTTCTGTTGCTGCAACCGCTTGCTTCTGACGGTTCACAAGAGAAGGCCGGCCATTCATAAGATTGCCAACGTCGACAAGTGCCCTACGGCCTCTTGCC